ATAATATTGTAACAATATTTAGACCTTAATTAGGTGAAAAACAATTGTGGGTTAGGCTTAGAGAGGGTGGGAAAAGACTGAACTACCCCTCTTGAAAAGCTATCAAAAACCTGTCCATGGGACCATCTACGGGTCGTGGTTTGACCCATAGATCATAGATCCCATCCGTGGACTCTATATTGATTTTTTAAGGCTCAAAAGTCCATTTATTGGTCCAAACGACGATCAGTAGGTCCACCTAGGGTCCGTCGGTTGGATCTGTAGGATTTGGGTCCCAAAAGTTGACCCCAGTACTCTAATGACGGCCTGACAGGATGGGTCTTCGTTCAACCCATAGCCCGTCGGTTGGGGTCGTCGTTCACAGACTCAGAAAACTCTAGTTTGACCGTCTTTGGCAAAACAGTCATAGTTTTTTACTCCGAACATCAAATGAGGGAAACTTGGTGGATTTAGAAAGAGGATTCAAACAACTTTAATTTGGTAGTTCATAGGCCACCTAATTCATTATGTGCCAGGAGATATGATCATTTGAAGTTGACCTAAGTAGAATCTTATGTCAAAACTTAATTGGAAATGAAGATTTCAACTAAACTTTGTGCTAGGGGTTCTTGTGACCTTAAATCATATCCAAATCCATTTGAACACCAAAGAAATGACATTTACATATTTGAGTAACTTAAGGATCAACCGAATCAATGCTATAGGCAATTAAAGAATGGTTTGGGTCTTAACTTAGAAATTTTTGGGGTGTTATATAAATGTTGTTAGAGGTGGTAAAACTAGACCATGAAAACATAACCCACCTAAGTTTGGGCTAGTTATTGACCCATTCATTTATAAGCTCAACTCATTAATGTCATAGAAGATTGGAGAATTTACATAAATATCACTTGTCAAGAAGATAATTACTTAGATACACTCTAGTTTGCAATATTACGTGTCTTACCAGATTTTGATGTGTCTAGATACGTTTAGATACATCCAGATACATGTATCTCAGGATATAAGAGGTCAAAATTAGGTCTAATTTGTTCTAGATGCATTGTATCCAAGTGGATTCACATGTATATGAGATACATAACTAATCTTGCTCACCTTCCTCGCCTCTCTCCCATCTCGCTCGCCACTCTCCTATGTATTTGATATCCTAGATATGTGCGAATTATACTCGTTTCTCTTCCTATTTTAGTGTATCTGGTAGCAAAAATACATGTATTTAAGTGCATCTTTCTCAATATATGGTAGGGAACTCTTAATTAGTGGTAAGAGATGTAATATCTTGAAAGTATAGGTAATAATAGTATATATCGTAATGAAGTATGTCTAATTATGTAGTTTTTCCTAAATGAATTAGGTTGATATATGTAGCCCAAATTATTTCATAAGAAATCTGGTCAAAATATTGTAAAGAAGACAGACCTTTTTATTGTATATGTTACATATCGTCATAATTAAAAAGAAAAATAGTCATATTAGATACTAAAAATTTCTAAAGAACAAATAAAATAATTAAAAGTTAGTAAAAATTGGGTGGAGGTGGGTTGGTTAATGGTTATAACCCATTTTTAGTCTATTTTAGCCTAAGGTTTTATTTGTTTGCACTTAATTGTGATCTGAATCTTAATCAGTCAGATTTATCTTATTAAATATGTTTGTTTTAAAAGTCTGGATCTTAATTTTTCAGATTCAGCTCATTAAGTTTGTTTGTTTTATTTCCTTATAATCCTCTTAATGGGTCTAAATAAATTAGAATGAATCAGATCTATAACATAATCTTAACACTATTGAGACTCATTTAAAATAAGACTCCTATCTTAATTCAACTATAACACAATAAGTCATAAAAGTCGCATTTGTTGTTTTCTTATTTAATCAATGTTAATTACATGCTTACAACTTGAATTTCCTTTATCGTCATTATTATTAACTTAACAGAAAGTCTTTTCTTTCATAAATTAATCAATACAATATTTGAATTGATAATTCCCAGGGTATAATATTTAGCACAATCCTAGAAAATAAGAAAGTACTATTTTGTCGATAACAATAACAAATATCTATTATAAAAAAGAATTAATGTTTGGCTAAAGTAGTCATTACCCCCTGAACTTGAAGCTTTTTATTCGGTGTACATCTAAACTATATTACATTTTAATTAACCCCTCGAACTTGTTTATTCCTCCATCACGTACACCTTTTTTGTCCACCTGCTCCTATTGTGACTACACGCGCATGACAGTTGGCAAAAGTGGTGATGTGGATTTCCACCTGGATAAATAATAGCCACCTAGATAAATTAATATGGCAAAAAATATATATATCAAACATTCATTGTTTAAAAGTTATTTTTGAATAAGGGCTGATTTCGCGAAACTCCTGCTGGATTTGAGTTTTTCTAGACGTGAAGTTGGTCGATTAAATTTCAATTTGTCTGAAATTCTTACCAAGTGTTAATCTTTGTTTCCTTTACTTTTCATTTACATTTTGCCCTATTTTTCGTTTAAAATATGCCAAATATTAAAGAAAAATAGAGATTTTACGCTTTTTTACCGTTGTAGCTTTATGATGTGGCAAAAAATCACTTCCTCACACGCCTAGTAGAGTGTGTTGTCAATTTCTACGCCAGGTGGACAATAAAGGTGTACGCGATGGAGGAATAAACAAGTTCGGAGGGTAATTAAAATGGAATATAGTTTAGATGTACATCGAATAAAAAACTTCAAGTTCAGGTGGGTAATGAATACTTTAGCCTAATGTTTTCATAAATAATGTATTACTACGCTATATAAACTATTTTACATTGCATCATATTTGATTCTCAAAGCTTTTTAGTGTAAAGAATAGTCATATTAATGATGTAACTTATGTTAAATTCTTAAAAGATGGTTCTTACTACCTTGTTACAAGAAAAATATTTAAAATATTATTTTCTATATTAAAAAAAACTATTTAACTAAAATGAGATTTTTATAATATTTTTTTAATATAACATTTAATTTCATATGCACATTCTAATATTGAAAATAAATACTATTAATTAGTTTTCAGATCTAGAGAAAATATCTTAATATTTAAATCTTAACGTAAATATATATTAATATTCAGATGTGTATTAAGATTTAAATGTGTTTATATTAATGAAAACAAAAATGACCTTTGAACTGATAAAAAAAAGACTTTTGAAGGGGTGAATAAGATATTGAATAATTATTAAGTTAATGTATTTTAATTAAACTAAATCCACACGTCTGTGTTGGTAACAACTAACAAGTAAGAAGTAACGTAAATTGATGGGGTTGAGATTATTAAGTTGTGACGGTGTTAACTACGTAGTGGCGATGATAGAGTTGTCGAATCTTGTATAAATAAAATGCAGGCGGTGTGAGTGGCAGAGGTGCCGAATTGAGATGAAGTGGTAAAACGTTATCCAAATAAAAGATAAAAATGTATCATCTTGGGAATATCAACTTAGCCAAAGGAGGTGGGTAAATCTGCAGGATCGTGTTGGCTCTTGCTTCAACCAACCTACTTTATTCTAAATAATATAATATAGTAAGGTGGATAATTTATTTCATCCCGCCTCCTTTCATGTTGCATTCACTCACTCGACGCCTCAATTCTGTTCTGCCCACTACTCTCTTTTCGACATCTTATTGGCTTTTACAAACATAAAAACAAAGTGTACATAGCAATTGTATGTATGTGAGACTGTCCTACAAACACATTCATCATCCATTAACAAAATGCATGATATTCCCCGTTTTAAGCCTCCTACTAAAAACAAGCCTTTTTTCTTTTTATTTATTCATTTTAACAAATCTAAGAGAAATGTATTAAACATAATCAATAATGTTAATTTGAAGGAGAGACTTAGAGCAACAATAACATTATTTTTGTATCACTTATAGGTCACATGTTCAAACTGTGAAAATAACTACTAATGTTTGTATTACGATAGCATTTCTACATCACATTACTCGAGGTACATACAATACAATCCTTCCCCAAACTTTGATAACCCCGATTATTTTGTGCACCAGTTGCACATATCAATAAATCCCTAATAAATATTACTTTCTTAAGGGAGTATATGGATTAAAATTCATGCCAACTCTATCTGGAAGTGGAACTAATACATATTACTCTACTACTGATGACTTTGAATTACTCAGTTTCGCCAATTTCCTTATAAGAATCTATCCATTCTTTTTAAATTTATTGTTCAACATCTGTATGATTGCATACGAAAAATTAAACAAATCAATGCATCATAATGATTGATGACGTATTGGCATTTTTATTTTTCTTTCAAAATTTCGCAGCTTTATAGTCCATTGTATATCAAACTCATTTACATCGAAAACTTTGAACTTTTACTTCGATATTCAAAGATATAAATCTGTAAATTTTAGTGTAATCATGTAGTTCCAACTACCGTATAATTTTAGGCAAAACTACATATAATGTTAGGTAAATTCATTACAACAATTTTATTTTATTTTTAGATCCGCACGCTCCGCATCAATTTAGAATTTTATTTTATTTTTATTATTTAAATCCACCCGACACTTGCATAGCAGAAAAACCCACACCGCCCCCACCAAGTATATAAGAAAGAATATTTTTTTAAAAAAAAAAAGATAATATACATACACCTAAATAGCAACATATAAAAATTCGAAAAATGATTTTGGCATGGACCTCCGCTCATGATTGAGCTTGAATATTTTTCCATGCTAATTGCCAAAAAATGGCAGTTCTCACCCATCTTTTTCTCCTTTTTCTGGGAGGGAAGCATTTAGTGAGACAACAGAGAAACTGCAGGGCTCTTGGTTTTCACCTTTCAGTTTCACTACCAACAGTAAGTCTACTAAACACAGTAAAATAGCCATCCATCAGAACTGAGGAATAACCAGGGCATATAACCGAAACTCAGTACGTGCAGAAGAATATATAACCAAAAAAAATCAAGAATGGCCATAACATTATTAGAATGTAACACTCTCTATACTGCTGATACAAGCGAGTGTTGTATGACAAATAAACAAAAATTACAGGCTTATGCATACCATAAAGATCCATTCACATTACTGCAATCAAAGCAACTCAGAATATGAATTTATCTTGCACAAGCTCTAATCTGTAGGGGCCTCAAACCTTGTGGGAGTATCAATTCCCATCATGCAGCAAAGGCCAGATATCAAAATTATAAGCAAGACAATTGCCTGGAACAGTACGTAAAGAACATATATAATCAGTAAACACAAAAGGCAGCAGCAAGGGAAAAAAGGGACATAATCTGATTTTACCACAACCAGAAGAAAACACTAGAAGCAGCTTTGAACTGTGGACAGATGCAAACAACTTACCACAAATATGCCCTCCAAAAATGAGGATTTAATTCGGCAAACTCCATCACAGCCATCGACTGATTTATTTCCAGTACCTTCAGCAAGAAACCTTTCTACTTCCCTATGAGAGGGGAACTGAATTGACCTAAAAGGATCTGACACATAGAGTGCGGTGTATTTTGCTCCCAGATTCTCCACATAACTGAGTAGTTGAGATAAAACTTGTCCTACAAGTTTATCAAGTTTAAGAACTATATATGACCAAAATAGGTATAAACCACATTCTCCATTGATATCATACCTTCAGATGTTTGATCTTCAGCTCCTCCCAGAGTACGGTGACCTTGATCACATAGAACAATCAAATTTGGCTGCCCCTTGGATTGTTTAGTGATCCTTGATAGCAGATAGTTCTGTAACACAAGACGGATGAAAAGAATTAATACATCCAGTATACACGGAAACAACATCCATATATATACACATACAAGCAAGTAGTAGCTGTGGTGAACATAGCCACTGCAGTAAAATCTGTAAAATGTCACTTCTTTTACTTTTTCGGGTGCCTCATTTTTTAATAGAACAAAGATTACTCCATTATTAACCTGAACTGAGTGGACATCAGTGAGTTTCTCAAAACTTCCACCCTCTACAGAGCATGATTGCGAGAAAGCAATGTTGCTGGCCTCAAGACCATGCCCACACGTGTTTGTAAATTCTGAAATCAAGGAGCTTTCCACTGATTCTCTCTCCTCTGATGCATCAATGTAGGGGAATGCCAAAGAAAAATTGGACTTTGCAACAGAGGCCTGATCAAGACATTTTTTACCACAGCTAAGATAATAAAAATGAACTTTTGCAGTACATCAAGAACCAAGCAAAAAAAATTTGAATCAGGGAAATGATTTCCGAAGTTGGGAAAACTCTAATTACCTTCAGCAAGTCCACAAGCTCCGAATTGGCATTTTTGGGTCTAGAAATATCCACAGATTGCAACTAAACAAGAAATAGACATTAGCAGCTGAGGCAAGGTAGAAAATATCAAAAAGTATAATAAAAACTTGCAAACCCTATGTGTTAACAAGGTCCCATATGAAAGTTGAGATGCAGTAGTACTTTACGAGCTTAAAGTGGCATTTTCACTACCCAACTACAATTCTCCTTCAATGGGTAAATAAACCAAATGGAGTTGTTTGTATCAACTCAACCATCGGGGTTAGTTTAACACAGACAACAACCACAAAGGGTTTTACTTAGAGCTGTCCAATTGGCAGGTTGGTCTAAATTTAGGCGGGTCAAAAATTGGAATGAATTAATAAATGTGCAGGTCAAAAGCTACTTGGACTGAAACAGGTTAAGCTAACACGTACTAAAATGTGGGTCATAGCCCAACCCTCCCAATCCTTGCGAAAGTTTAATTGCTTTATTTGTTGTTTCATAAATTTTCAGTACCAAATAAAATTTTCTTCTTCTTTATTATAGCTATAAATAACATATCAAATTAAAGAAAATGTCTTCTAAAAATATTGACAAGATTACTCATGAGTCAAATCAACCCAATTTTGTAATGGGTGGAAATAGATTGAGCTAAATAGATGGGTTATTGACCCACCCAAACTTGACCGGGTTTGTGGATTGAGTTTGATTTTTCCACCCCTAGTTTTACTCATTATTCAGGATACAAATGGATTCCAAACACACTTTGGTTTTTTTACTGGTAAGTAGGAATGGGTTCCAAGTTCTGCCACCTTTTCGGCAGTTTGAAATCAGTGTGGAGCAACGTAAATTTTGTAGGAAGGTGTATCACAATCTCGTCATTGTCTTGCTCCGAAGCATATAAAATTATGAATCGATTGGCTTAAATAAAGTGTGTTTGGATAATTTAATTCCAGGAAAGTACAACAAAATATTGTTACTCTTCCCCTAGAACTAAGAGATGCCTACCTCTTTCCCAACAAAAACAAGTGCAAGATCCAGATGCTGTCCACCTTCTTTTCCTGAGCACTAATGAAGATAAAAGACAATTCAGTTTCCTTCAAAAATTGAATCAAGAGAAAGCAGGCAGGCAAGAACTAATAGAATATAGCGACAGGAAGTACCAGCAAGTCCGACCAACCACCCTCAGCCATAACGGACTTGACTAAATCCTTCAGTGAAAGGGTTCTGTAATTGACAGCTTCACTTGAGGCAACTCTGTAACATAAGTAATCAAAAGTTTCAGATAATACAAATTTACGCATAGATCTCTTGGCGACAATCACCATAAATGTGTTGCAGTTGCAGTTCAGGTAAGTTGCAATTTGGTGCAAATTACCTTTAAAAAACAAATGTATCATCCCACATAAATATGGAATACAGAAGAAGGGGCATACATAGGATATCAACCTGTTGTCACCAACAATTCATTAGCTAGGCAGTAGGGCTCACCAGTAAATCGCAGATTAATATTTTAAGGACCTAAATGATGTTTCTAGATGGTTCACATAGCTATGCACCTTTGCTTCAACTATAACCCAACTAGGAACTCTACTGACTTTCCGAGACTTCATGCCATTGTATTGAAAGCATGTCAATTCTAGCGAGCAGCTTTGTAAGTCCTAAACCTAGCTATTCTCTGTAGGTCTCTTTAGTGTACTACTTGTATACCGAGAATTTCCTTATAAAATTAATACTTCATCAAATAAAGTTCCTAAACATTGCTATCACGTACACAACCTAGCCAAAGTAAGAAGTCATTTTGGTTAAAAAATTAAAGTTAGTGTTTTCTATTCAAGTAGACAAGGAAATAGAAACTTACACAAATTCTTAAGTGTTGAAACTCACAATTAATGGCTTCTAGGGTTTGTAAAATCTTTTAGAAAGAGGCGAAGGGAGGAACTACAGGGAACAATTATAGAAATGGAAGGAGCTACTGAAAATTTATGAATTTTGAGGCTATAACGTAAGAAATTTAACGGGAGTAATTGAGGCATTAATAAATTGATTGTAGCCAGAAATTCTGATTGTCATTAGGATTTGATCTGAGATGCACGGTCTATATTTTGGAGATTTTTGTCCATATTAAAAGCTGTTTTTCTTTTGAAAAAGAATAGAAAAGCTTATTAAAAGCTTTAACATTCTAGAGGCATGTGATTTTGACACTTCACAGACCCCTTCAGTCTTCCTCAAAGAAATAAGAAGAGTATATTCGAGATTTACAAGAAAGAATACAATGTGGAAATTGCTTTACATCAGGTGTTCCAAAACAAAAGATCTTGTGTAAGAATAAGGTATAAATTACTTTTGACAACTAGAAGCTCAGGCCACAAAGCAAAGATGGGATGTCATTTAGATTTGGTTGACCTTCCTAGATGAAGGCTGCCTATGAAGAAATTGATCTCACTAATGGAGTCGAACATTGCTAGGGTTTAAATTCAAGTGATGTGAATCATCAGATGTGCAAGAACAAAACAATCAGGCCACATTTGGATTAGGATTACAATGGATCAAAGAAGTCAACTTGGTGATATGTTCCCGACAAGAAGGTAGATAAGTAATGGACACGTGAAAAAAAGAAAGATGGAAATGCCAGATTACAAGAGAAAATGCTAGGTCTACTAATGGTAAAAATTAGTCGGGCATTTTGGTGAAAAGGGATAGTTCAACAACTGAGTCTTCATTATTTACCTAAAATTATTCCACTATGCATAGTTGAAAAGTATAAGCATATATGCAAGCAGAAAATCTCCATGAGAGATTGAGAGGTTCAAACAGAGTAGCTAAAAGCTGGAGCAGTGTGGTGTCACGAGCGTAGCTAGGATTTTCAAGGGTACACAATAAATTTGCAGATCTTACTTCTATTTGTTCGTGCTTAAACAAGTTAACAGTCGACCCATGACAACAACAACAACAAAGACTACTTCTAATTCTTTTTCCATTTCTCAATTATTTTTTGCTGGTTGACTTAATTTGAAGAAAAAATATGGGAGACGCTTCCCAGAATGTTTAGCTATCAAGGAAATTGAAAAACTATCATCACCAGTATGAATAGTTAGAAGGACCGATAGGAAGGGATTGATATACCGTGAGTTTACGGTATTTCTAATACATTTCACTTACAAGTTGTGTGTGTCTAGGGCCTTTTTATATTGGTTTTTATGTGTTTTTATCATGTTTTGCAGGAAAGGTGTTCAGGCGCGGAAGTATAGAGACAGTTGAAAGAAATGCAGAAACAGGGCATTCACGGAGGTGATCTATGGACCATAGGTCCATTTACGGTCCGTAGGTGATGACCGTAGATCAGCAAGCATGGTATTGAGGACAAATCAGGGAAATCTGACCAAGTGTAGAACTACGGTGTCCATTGACGATCCGTAGATTGATCTACGGACCGTACTGTTGATCCGTAGAATGATACTGCGAGGGTTCCAGTACCTGATTTTTGAAGATTCTAAGTATGGAGCTACGGAGGGGATTGACGGACCGTAGATCGATCTACGGTCCATACTGCTAGTCCGTCGTTTGCTTCAGAGAAACTGATTTTTTGGAAGCGGAAATATTTTCTAAGTCCTGGCTGACGGAAGGGACTTACGGACCGTAGATCCATCGGCGGTCCGTAAGTCAGTCTCGTGGATTGACGACGCGTACCTGAACAAACTTTCCTTAATTTGTTTTCTATAAATAGGGCATGTAAACCTCGTTTTTGGGGGTTAGACATTATTATTCTATTTTTACTTTGTGACTTTGGAGATTAAGTTGCAACCTTAGCAATTATTGATTTCCTACATTCGTTTTGAAAACTTTTGGCTTTGCAATTCAAGTTGAAATTCTGGGTTTATTATTCTCGTTACGTAAGTTCATGATTTATTCATCTAATATTATGAATTGTGTTCTTGCTAATATGAGTAACTAAATCCACAACTAGGGTTGTGGGAACCATGAGCAATTAACAAAGTATGAATAGTAAATAAGTAATTCTTGAATAGTGTTTTGCATGCATTGATAATTCTTTCGATTTAAAAGTCTTTTTAACGAGTGCACGCGTTAGAACTCGCCTTGTTGCTACTTGCCGGATCAAGGAGGTAATCAACAAGAAAAGAATTATCAACATAGATTTAGTGTGATACTATCTAATAGGCTAGTGTCGATTGGTGCGAAGTAATAACTAAGCCAAACATCGATTATGATGTCTAATATGAGGTAAAGGTAAGGGTTAGTAAATTATACACACGTAGCCGGATCAAGGTGCGGGGTGAAATTCTCTAGATGCCGGATCAAGGATTTAGAGATACCTAACTTATCACTTTGCATGTCACACACTAGGAAAGGACTGCGATTACTAGGATTACTGCGTTATGAGCTTGTGGGAAACACGTTTACCCTAGTTAATCTTCTCATCTTGATAACAACCGAAATTGATTTTTGATTATTGATTACTTACTGAATTCTTACAATTTGTTTCACAAATTCCCCCCTTTTTATTTCTTGTTTCTGGAAGTACTTTGGCTAATTGAATATAATTGTTGGTTAAAGTAAAGTCTAAACCATTTTCCTCGTGTGATCGACCCCAACCTACAAGTTGGGTTCTTTACTTGATAACGATCACTTATACTTCTGTAAGGAGGTGTAATTTGAGCGTATCAGGGATTCAGAGGCACCATGAAGATAGTAAACATTAATGTAGTAATCATTTTTCATAAGATGGCAATGAAAGATACACTTTGATAGTAAGGATCTAGGAGAGTCTAAAAGGATTTTGTTATTTACTTAGAGCCTGTTTGGATTGGCTTATTTTAGGTGTTTTTAAGCCAAAAGAGTTTTTAAGCAGTTTTGTAGTGTTTGGGTAAAATAAAAAGTGCTTATAAGTACTTATTTTAAGCTAAAATATCAAAAATAAGCCAAAGGCCAATACAAACGGGCTCTTAGTTGGCATATAAGTTTTGCTTCCTCATTTTTCTTTTTGTTTTGTGGGGAAGTAAGTAGTTGACACTTGAGTTGTTAGTTTGTTTTACCACTCAGCCAGCATGGAAACAATGAGTTCCTAAAAATGATTGTTTGTGACATTGATACATATCATAGTCATCCTACCTTTGGTGCAACTTTACAAAATTTAGAAAGAAAAATTAATGCCATAGTCTATGGGTTATTTTATAACTGAGCGTGCTAAGTTAGCATAACAGTTTAAGAATAATAAAACATAAAGTGACAGCACTTCTAACAACAAACAAACAAAATTCACGAAATACCCAAGAAATGTGTACACTAAAGAAATCATCTTTCACAGAACATTTTTCTAAGTTACTAGCAAAGACATTGAGATATAATTTGATTAAATTGATATTCCTAAAGCTATTTAAGAATAATAAAACATAAAGTGACAGCACTCCTAACAACAAACAAACAAAATTCACGAAACACCAAGATATGTGTACACTAAACAAATCATCTTTCACAGAACAGTTTTCTAAGTTACTAGCAAAGACATTGAGATATAATTTGATTAAATTGGCATTCCTAAAGCTTCCAATGGAGAATTTATATTCAAGACAAAGTTAAAAGACCTAGACTTGAAAGTTTATGTATCGTTTGTGAGATATTTATATCATCCATTGCTATACCTGTGATAAAGTTAGAGAGGTATGTGATCAGAGTACTGTGGACAATGCTTGTACAGAGTTGGAAAATCACTGGGGTTGGAAGAAGATGCACAGGGTAAAATAAGCACATAAGATATGGGAGATGATACCATCGAACACAGTTTCACAATTATGGAGAGAACAAGGAGATTTTTTGGTGGAGAAGCAATCCAAAGGAAACATTCTAAAATAAAATACTTGACAACTTCTTTTCTTGGAGCAAACAGGAAATATCTCTGTGAGTTTTGAAGCGTTAACGTAAACTTGTCCTAATACACAAGCTTAAGTGCTTTTATGAGAATAAGGAAACGTCATACTAATAAAATTTTATATTTCTTTTAAATATATTTGAACTACCTATCCAGCATCACTTCATAGAGAAGTGGTTAGAGGTATTAGAAATAAATAATGAGCTAAGGTATTGACCTAATTGCCTTGACGTAGCTAGTCTTCCCCTAAAGAAAGAGGCTTTCTATTTTTAATAGACATGATTATAAGGAAAGAGGCTGTCTATTTTTAATAGATATGATTATCATGACTCCTGACCATATTTTGAAATGAAGTACCTACCTAGAACCTCCACCTCGTCTTCTAGTTCTTCACCATTCTCTTTTTCTTCCTTTTTCCTGATACCACTTATCTTTTTGTTCTACTCCTCAATAAGCTATTTTAGATGTCCCTGAGTTCCCCTCTCTTCATATCTTCCCTCCCCTCCCTCAACTTATTCTTACTGCTGCTCCAAGCCCCATCTGACCTCCTCTCATTTCTCCATTCTAGACAGATTTGTCCTCTATTCTCTCAAAAACGAAACAGCTTTTGCATTCAAATTTTGCATTAAGAACTGTCTATTTACATATATCACAAATTTCTAATAAAAGTGATGGAACATTCAATTAATCGAGATTACCCAAGATTGCAAAGGTAACTGTGCCACCAACCCAACACATATCCCAATAAAAAAAAAAGGAAATAAGCAAACAGTCTTCCTGTAGTTTGTTTCTTCTCAGTTGTTTTTCCCTTTTGCTTTATCACATGTTCTCCATTTCTGTTTGTTCAGTTGCCAGTCCTCAGTTACCAGCAGTTTTGATTATTTGATTTCCCTTCTTGAGTTGGACCATTATCATTATCCTGATTTCAAGTTTGTTCACCCTACTACTTCTTCCAGCAAAGAAATCATTTTCTCTACTCATGAGCCCAAATGCACACCTTTCTTTTTGCCCCCTCATCCCATCTTCTTTTTAACTACCCGCCAAAATTTCCAGCTCAGCACTTGAATTTTCTCTTGTTTCTATTCATCGTACGTCATTAGATGATTTCAAGTTACTCCTCTGGAAAATCCTTCAGGCATCAACAAAGCCACACAAGTATTTTCACCACAGGACGAAGAACAATGGACCAGGTAATATAATGAAATCTAGTTTACCACCCTCAAGAGGAAAGGCACAGATATAGAGAAGGCTGCAGAAACTATGCAGATGTGATAAGATTTTTTTTCTATTTGATTAGTTAAGGGAATGCGGAATGTTAAAGATACCATAAACTTTCAAAGAACAGACAGACAGAACAGCTATCTCAAGAACAGATAAAGAAAATACAATCCCAGACTCCCAGTTAACATTACAAAGAATCAAAAAATGAGATTCAAGCAAACAAAATGGAAGAACTAACAATATCCAGTTTCCTTTTCAAATGAGATGTTAATGCAAGAAATTATTTTTTGGGCACATAATGCATAATGAGTGTATACCAGAAGCAAAGTTTCTCCATCTCCTTTTGCACACTAATATTTGTTTTTCTTTGGGTGACAATTATCAGACAGAGAAGCAATCCTCCATAAAAGGGACAAACTGAACTTTTAATATGTACCAGCAACAAAACCGCCTCACATTTGAATAGTGAGAAAACTAGCAATATTAGGTTGAAAGCATTCTAGATTACAAATAGTGTAAATAATAAGGAAAGGAAAGGAGAGTCAAAAACGATCTGGAACCTTAAAACAAAAACTCTTGAGATACAATTCATTTTAAAAGAAGACAGTTTCTCCAAGTAAACCATTCTTAGTAGAAGAAATCTTTTTATCCATCTAAATGAGAACTTCATTTTGAACAGAGGTTAGCTATCCAAAGTATTACAAAAGAAAAAAAACTCTGTGTAGACATCTGAATGATAGATTAAACCCTCATTGAAAAGATTTCTGACAAGGAAGATTACTATTAGGACATACAGACGAGCACCCAGATTTGGCATCTCCAGATGTAATTAGATTCTGGCAGGGTGAATTGTTTATGCCTCCCTCTAGCTTAGCCAAAACATCCTTCCCTCTAGTTTGAAGAAAGACCTCCACTTTTTTCTTTTCAAATAAGGACCTTAAGCCTCCACTTTTTATGGAGTCACAGATATAACCCATATAGGGAGAATGAGTAAGGTACTATTAGAAGTAGAGAGAGGCTATAAGTTTGGGAAGTTAGAGAGGAAGATGGAGTAGTTCATCCTATTTAGCAACCTCTGGTAACAAACAGTATGTCAAGATCTACTGGAATCAACTATATTACTGGATAGAGGCACCACTAAACCAATAATTTGCTTTGAATCCCTGGTGATTGAATAAGCTGTAACAAAATCAGTAGAAATCTAGAAGCTGCAATAACCAATAAGAAAGTAAATCCATACCCATAATGATGCGGTGACCAAAGAAAGGAAGGAACTGCCGATGGAAATGAATGTCCGAAAGGGACTTCAACAACAACAATTAAAGCAACCAACAATGCCACGGGAACCGTCTTCATCTTTCTCCTGAACATCAAATCATGAATTGACAAGACATTAACTGAAAAGATTCAAAATCAAAATACAACCAACATAGTAAGATCAACAAATTCAGACATTTAGTGCACAAGTACAAGGATGATTTGACAAATCTAGATGTTTGACCCGCAGAACAAAAGGATAATTCATTCTTTTACAATATCATCTGAATCAAAAGGCAAAGCAGTGCTCATAAACAACAGATCAGAGAAGAGAGTGGATTTTATCTAACCTTGGGAAGGCTACTGATGCTGTGATGCAGGTTCAATGGAAGACTCTTCAGCACGTTGCTGTTTTAATCAATCTCTTACTTCCCTGAATATGATAGATAATAATACAGATCTCCATACACTCTGACAAATTACACTTCCGTGCCCTCTCTTTCCTCATATTATTCCTGTGGTCCTTCTATTTTATTTCAAAATTTTACAAACCTATTTTTATAAAAATCAAAAATATATTGAATAAAAATACTTTTACCTAATAACTTGTGTAGCTCTTGCACTCATGGTCTAAAAATACTATTTACTATGATCCAAAAATGTTAATTACTTAATAGGTTAACAATGACCTTTCCCAAGTTTCTTATTTTTGAACACATTCTTTTTCTAACAATAACTTTTTCTATCGGCAAATGTTTATCATACTTCAATTAGGAAAAGATTAAAAAATAATAAATTTTCTATTTTATTATGAATTTTTAATTGTAATTTAAATGAAAATTAATGATGAGATTATTATGATCTTAAATATATGAAATATATTATCAGTTAAAAATGATACATGAAGTTATTCTATTTTAATTGATAAAATGAGATTAAGAAATAAAGAAAAAATTTCCTATAGTTTATTAGTTACAGTGATTTAAAAAGAAATAAAATAAAAATAAGGCTCTTTAAAAGTAATATATTAATTTAGAATATGATGTGTTTAAAAAGAAAGGAAGAATATATTTATTCAAAAAAAAATATTTAACCCACTTCGTAACAATAGGGGCATTTCTAAACAAAACTATATTAGTAGAGATATTTTAGTCGAAACTATTAATGATAAGGACATTTTTAGACCAAATTATTATTAAAAGACATTTTTGTTCAATTTCACATAGTTTAAGGATATTTTTTTTTTACTATTTTTCATCTATTTTATTTGAAAATTTTAGAAACTTACCTTCAAATTTACTGTGACCAAGTTGTTACTATGATTTGGGATATTATATTTTGGATTGGGATTACCTACAATATTTTTTCCTATAGTTTTTTTCAATGGGCTTGTGTAACACCTCGAAAGTGTAAAAGTGATTTGGAAGTGGGGAAGTGTTGAAGTTGTTGGTGCAACTGGTTCCACGAACCCCTATGTGAACCATAGAATGTCTTATGGGTCATGGGAAACCATTCAAAGTTTGTGATCTTCAGGATTTTGGGTTTCATTAAATTGAATGTACTATCGATCAGAAGAGGCCATTGTTGTGGCTCCAAGATTCATGTTTCAGGAGTTTTGGAATTTCAGCATCATAGTTCCACGGTTGGTCCCTACGGTCCCTACAAGGGAGTATGACTCGTGGAAGGTGGCTAGTGGTTGAATAACAAAAAGTTAGGGTTTCAGTATTTGATTGATTCCATGATTGACCAATACGGTTTGTAGACCGTTGTACGGTTCATACATGGTGTCCGTGGAAGAGAAATCGACAGTTTTCTTCAAGATTAATTGACTTTTTTTCTACATTTTTAATTCCTAAACTATGCCGTTTCTAGACTATTTCTAAGCCCTATAACTAATTCTACACTTCAACAATTTTACATTCCCTCTCATTCTCTTAAAACCCCAAAAGCTCTCAAGTCTTCTTCTCCAAGGATTCTCAAAGTAGATTATGGTACTTCAAGCTTCAAGTCTCCTCTTCCCATTTCAAATGTAGGATTCATCAAGGTATGGGGAAACTTTATCAATGGATTTCTTTCCATCCATTGAGTTCCAAAAGAACCTCAATTTCTCTTTATGAATTCCTACCCAAATTCTAGGGTTTGCATGATTTCTTATGGGTTCACTAGTTTATGAATAAAATCATTATATTTGATCTTATTATACATGATTTGATATAAATTTCATATTTTCGATGATTTTCACATGAACCCGTGCTATATGAATACTTTATGATTATGAACTAAGTTTTGAGACTATGCATGCACTATGACTTGAAGAATTTATGAATTAAGGATGCTTCTAGATAAAGTGTCAACATGTTTTGTGAAAAGGTTGCTTCCAATTGAATTATTCTTATTACAAAAAAAATGATCATAATTTAGATGTTTTAGATAAGTGTCTTTATGAGTATGATATGAAATCCTGATTTTAAAAGGAGTTATTCTATTAAATGAAGTTTATGATCGAATTGATATTACTAGATTCTTACCATTTTAAGTATTATGATTATGATATGATTGCGCTTATTTCCATTGGGAGTTTACTTAGCATCAAGTTAATTTTGGGATGGAGGCTCACCCGTTAGTGTAGGCATAATACTTTAGTATCAATCACATTGTCCCATAACTATATGCCCATGTAGGACTTGTCCCGATTGGACATTAGCTAGTAGATTCACCTATGATTAAAAACATGGTCCTTACGATAAGTAACTCACTCTCTTTTCTCTTTGAGAATAGTACACCGGACTCCATATTATAGCTCATATAGTTTTTGTTAGTTAACGGTATCTCCAATAAAAGAATGTAGTTTTCACAATAGTTAATGATTTCCCCAAAGAGTACGATTTACGCTTATGTCATGATTTTCAAGTATTGTATTGACGTTGTTTTATGTCTTATGAATTCAGCTTATCAAATGTGTTATGTTTTACTTGGTTATGCATTATCATATTTTCATATTTAGCCTGCTCCATGTTTACATTTATGCATTTTCCCTATATTCAGTACATTTTGTGTCTATATTGTCTTATAATATAGGTTCTGACGTTCCTCCATCAAGCCATGGCTAGCAGATTGGTCAGCATTAATTAGTAATTTTGGTGAATCCTCATGGTTAAAGGGTATGATCATATGTTATAAGTCTTTATGTCTTTCTTACACTTTCTATTTTCAGACTTACTTTGTGAGGCAGGGTTTGTCTTAGCCACACCCATTAGTAGTGGCCTATTTTCAGACTTAGTTTGATTCTGCATTTACTGTCTTTGTACTCAGGTTCTTCTTATGTTAAGATTGTCTAGTGAAACTTATATTCCACTTTATCTTTTTATTTAGGGAGAAGGGACAGATTTACCCCCGAACTTTAATAAATGGTACGTCTATGCCCTCTGTTATACATGATCTGTCTAGGATCTGGGTGCCTCAGCCCACTCCTTCTCCAGTTCCAAATCAGACTATGGTCCCAACACCACCGGTACAGGGTCCTCCTCCCAAGTCTCTCAATAGACTAAAGGACGATGGACTGAGGACTATCATTGAGGAGAAAAGGCTGTCTATAGATGGTGTGATAGACCGATACCCAGAAATATGGTGGACTTTAAAGTCCCACAAGTTTGAGATTTTTACTAAACCTTGGGGGCATTACATTACTAATTGGGTCTAAAAATTTTACACTACCTATGGAGCTTTGGTGCCATAGGGGAAGAGGAAGGTTGTCACATTTAAGCCAGTCGACTATGTAGTTGTCAGGGGGAGAAGGTAAAATGTGATAGTGATGACATAAATGTTGTTCTAGAATGTACTACCAACATTGTCGATGACTACAGAGCATGATAAAGAGAATGGCTTTGGAGGACATGAAAGGTTGGCTGGTCCCTCTCCTTTTAGATGGTACTCCTAGGTGGATTGAGGTCAGAGTCCCCATAGAGAAGAAAAATCTAAATGTGGCAGTGAGGTACTGGTTTGGGTTTATTAGCAACACAATCATGCTATCCCAGAATAAATTTATCCTCCACCACATGAAAACGGCCTATCTTGGCTCTATAATTGCTGGGAATAGCCTCAATTTGGGTATGATCATTGGACAAGAGATGGCCATGAGGGCTAGACAGCGTCAGATATAACTTTTTTTTCTGGTGTTGATCACCAAGTTCTGCAGAAGAGCCCGGGTGCCTCATGATGAGAAGAAGGACGTGGAAGGGATTCCCACCTCCTCTACCAACATCTTGCGCATTGAGGTTGAGTATTTGAAGGATGAGGCTGAGAAGAAGAGGGTAGCCCCGGTGGATGCATCCTCGGCTGTTGATATTGAGACACTACCTGCAGAGGCAGTATTGCCTACTCCGACCTAGGCCTTCAGGTATTTCTAGCTTTGCCCCTTCCATGACTCCGAGTTCTTCTACTTGTTACCTTACCTCCTAGGTCTGCTCCTAGTACTGCCTCTCGACCTCCACTCACCCAGACCATGCTGCTACAGATGGGGCACCTAGCCCATTCTGCTGATGTACATGCCTCCAGGCTAGAGGCTACAGTACCTGGGATGATTGAGAGAGTTCTCACAGCTGTTGTGACAACTCTTAGAGAGTCTATCGATGCCCTTATGACAAGGATAAACGTGTGTGAGAGAAGTCAGGGAGCCACTTATGAGGTGACGGCCATAAAGGCCGCAATTGCAAAGTTGAGAAAAGATATGGACCAGCTGAAGTCCACAGATATGTCAATGATTTTTTGGACCGTGGAGATCCCCAATGACCTGGACACAGATATTCTAGCCCATTGATGAGTCCACAAATTGGACTCATTTAGGGTTTTATTTTAATAGAAATAGTGTGCTCGAATGCTTGTTTTATCTCAATACTTGATTAAAATGCTTAAGTTTCAGGTATTTGAAGATTTACTGGAAGCATGGACACTTAGGTGCAAAACAGAGCAAAAAGGGCTAAAAAGAACAAGAAATGAAAGTCTGCAGATCGTCGAATCCAACTTGGCGAGTCGCCGAATTGACATGTACCGCCCTTTGTTCCAGTACGCTAAGCCTTGAAGGAAGTGGATCGAAAGGCGAGGAAAGGAGCAGTTGGTGAGTCACCGATTAGTTCCGCGAAGCAGTACTGTACTGCCCAATGATCCAGAATGCGAGGATGTTGAAGGCAAGACACTGAAGGTGATGAGCTAATTAAAGGGCAGATCGCCGAGTTCATCGGCGATCTCGACTACCGTCTTCGAACGATCCTCTGTAGAACAATCTGTGAAAACTATAAATACTAGTTAGAGTTGTAGTCTTAGTGTGGAACATTTTAGAGTAAAATTGTTATTATTATATAGTATTGTTCATATTATTCTCTCAAGTTTGGAGAGGGTTTGTGGACACTTGAAGAAAGGAGTTCATCTTCCCCAAGTTGGAAGTGGATCTTCTCTATTCATCTTCCTTTGCTTAATTCAAGGTTTAATT